CATAAGAATTCTTTTTTGTGGTATAGAGGTGAAAATGCAAAGTTTTTACTAATAAATTCTGCCATTGTTAAATAGATTCCTCCATCTGGAATCTATTCATCTGTAAAACCTACTAGATAATGTTGGGAAACCTTAGCTGACAAGTTGGACATGAAATCCAAATACCATCTGGGGGTACTTTTATTTTTTGATCCACATAAAAATCAAATACTGAAGTGTTTCCAGAAATTTTCAAGTTATCTCCTAATACTCCAAAGCCAGTTCACTTTAGAAAGAAATTCATTATACAACCACAACTTTAGAGTTTGAAATGGATTTAAAAATCCCAACTTCCACCACTTCTGATGATATGTCACTGCCCTACTAAAAAAAAAAAGAAAGAAAGAAAGAAAGAAAATTGCCCATTCCTGGCCAAGATTTAGTTCCCTATAGTTCCATGAAGGAAAGCAATGTAGCAAGTAGTTGGGGTGAGTGATATTTGATTGATTGATTGATTATATGCCACCAAGTTGTTTTTGACTCCTGGCATCCACAAAGATTGGAGTAAGTAAGACGATATAATTGGGGCCAGAAACATCAAAGAGAGTAACTGACTCATGCCCCTTAGAAAATAAATATTGCTCCAGGTCATACATCATGATACCCTGTCATGCAGCCTTTACAATCATTATCAACGTTGAAACGCAATGTCCATAATTGCCACCGCAGGAGAAAATGTGTAAGCTTTATGCCTTATACCTCTAGTTCTCAATTATGTGCCTTCTGAGAATGCATTCCACATTGACTCATCTTCCATATTGACTAATCCACAGGTGCCATTGCAATATACCATGAGAAGTCTTGTTATCACCTGTTAAACATGCAGAGTTGTAAACATCTACAAACTTTTCCTGCAGCCTCCTTACTCTCTATTTTAGTTATATATTGAAGACATGAAACACGAAGGGAGATGTAACTGTTTGAAAGCTACCCTCCCCCATCACTGTGGGCTCTGCCAATAAATGCTGTGGTTATTGCTCTTTTCACCAGACTGCTCTTTGCCAATCTACCTCAAGGGTTGGCAAGCGATTAAAGGTATAGCCCTCCCAAACTCTGGGGAATGGACAATTTGCTTCTGTACTGTACATATCTGTAAAGTTCTAGAAACTATGTTGGGAGCCTCATATCTAAGGTTTTTAGAAATAGTTGCAGAAAGTTGTCCTATTCTCTTCAAGAGCCAACCAAAACCTGCTTTTTCTGCAATTATTAAAATACCCTCTAACTTTTCTTGGCATTTCATAGTTATTTTGCAATTGGAGCTTAATGGAAAAGCTGGTATTCCAGATCTGCTGAGTTCTGCATGACCATAACAACCTGTAGTTGTTTGTAATAATCCCAAACTGATCCAACTGTGATATATTGAATTCATCTTGGGCTGGCAGAACTGAATTGTTAGGTGTATGCAATAAGTATGCAAACAGATCACAGGATGAAACATCTAATGAACACCACAAGGTCATCCAGGCATCAGGCAAATAAGCAGAGAGGAGCTGTGGCCAATTAATGGGGGGAGGAGGGTGCAATGTATTCCAGATTAATGATTCTGTCCTATAATCTTCAGTTTGCCTAGCTGTCAGCCCCTTGAGATAGTCTAAACAGAGAGTCACCATCTGACAGCTAACCAAAGCTCCAAACCAAAGAGGAAAAAACTATATGAGGTAATTCTAGTTTATTGTAAGGTTACATTAGCATAATCTTGTAAATCGTAAGGTGTGAATCTCCTGCCACTACTAGAGACCTGGTTGTGGAATTTGAAATAATTTGGACAAAATTCATTCTAGATTTACAACAATTTTTTGCATTTCAGAACCAGTTAATATAACTAGAATATAACTAGGAATTTAGTCCAATAATTCAAATGCTAAGAACAGAGGTTGACAACTTTAAGATTTGTGGTCTTCAAATCCAAGAATTCCCCAGGCAACCATGCTGGCTGGGGAATTCTGGGATTGAAGTCCATAAGTGTTAAAATTCCCAAGGTTGGATACCCCTGATTTAGAACTCTAAAAATAAATTTAAAAAACTGTTACTGAAGGCAAGTTATAATCCTGCTAAATCTACTGTAGATGGCACTTCATAGATTATGAAAATGGATTAGGTGGAGGATTCAGGGCATAACATTTATAGACATAGTGGAAATTTATCATCTCTTAATCCCCAATTTATGCACATACAGAATTTTGTGCTCATTAATTCTTTGCCTTAGACATATTACATACATAAATGCTAAATTTGTGATGGTCCATATTTTGGAAATGTGTTATTTAATTTGTAAAATGTTTTTATTGATATGATAGATTTTGAGGTTGGATTTGCAGTAGTGAAAAAAAAATCAAGGGAAGAAGCCACCTTGGTACTTTTCATTTGGAAGCACCTAGAAGCCCTTTCTTCAAATCAACATACTTCATTCATTCATTCATTCATTCATTCATTCATTCATTCATTCATTCACTTTTGCAGGAAATGGAGATAATATTGGCCTGCTATATTGCAAAGAGTTTTATATCATCATTTTTTGTCAGCCTAATTTGTGAGGTCTGTTTGTGATTTTTGCATATCCTGCAAGAGAGTCCCTCTTCCCAACCTTAATTAACAAGGGGAGTTGAGGTGTCTATCCCTTGGATTGGGACAGGAATATATTCCTTCCATTATAAGGAAGGATGTCTGAATGGAGACCAAAGAAGGAAAGTGGGAAACATCCCATAAATCTTCTCAGCTGGAAATTGCTCTGTCTCACAGGGCCATTAGGAGCAGCAGAAGCAGTGGTAGAAAGAATTGTAGATTTTATTTCATGTGCTTTGAAATAATATTATAGTGCTTTTGCTTGCAGTGACTTATGTTGCTTGTAAATCATCCAAATCACACATAGTGTGACAAATCTGTCATCAGCTTTCTGATTTGTTTCTTATTTTAAACCAATTATTTATTTATTTTACCACACCATGCTTCAAACCTGTGCTCAGTATTCCAAGAGAAAGGTTAGAAAAGAGACACTTCTGATACATAGGCGTCATAGAGCATCACTTTTTCATTTTTGCCTCAATTATAATGGGAGTGGGAAAACTGTTGATTTCCAGACATTACTCAAACATAATTTTGATCAGTTCCAACCAGTATTCTATTTTTGATTCATTATCAGACGAACACAGAATTCTCAATCTTGTTTTAGGAAAGTTTAGATAGAAGCACCATTAGTTCTTACAAGGCCTCTTGTTTTAGATCTCTCTTGTGATGGAGAAAACAGATTCAAATTTATCCCCTAAGAACAGTTCTGAAGGCATTATCACATATGAAATTTAAATCAGTCAGAAATAAAATAAAAAATCGACTAATGTTGACTGGAATTCTTGCTCTGTTTTCCTTTCATTGTCACACTAATAACATTAGGCATGTGGGTGTGCTGAAGTGCTATGAGTGAAAATGACTGTAGTGTGTTATTTAGAATATTATATTTGTTTATAAGCATCTACAAAAAAAACATAGCTTTTGATGCAGGAAATGAACATTGAGAGGTAACTGTAGCATAGCTCCTGGTAACCTAAGAAAAATATATTTCTTAATATGAAGTTGAAAACTGTCAGAAGACTTTACAAACCAGTGAGAGAATGTACTTTTGGCAAAGAAGAAAAAAAGTAATTATAACTAAAAGCAGAGATAAAACAGTGTGTTTATGAGAGGCGGATGACTTCAAAGCCCTTGAATTAAGGAGCCCCTTGAGGGACAAGTGGATTATGAGGTCTCTAACTCTGAATCACACAATTCAGATTTCCAAGATCTTTGTCTTACTTTCCAGTGTATACAAGTTGGGAATTTGTGCTTTCTCTGTGGCCACCCATGCCCTGCTAGAAGTCCATCTAGCCCTGAACTTGCTGCCCTCCTTAATAACCATAAAGACTTAGGTTTTGGGTTTTTTTTGGAGGCCTGTTCCACTATTCATAACTTTTATACATGATATAAACAGAACTGGAGATCAATTTTTATTTTATTATATTATTTAATATACTTCTCATATAATCTCATATTGAAGCTACTTCATGGTATTTTTAAAGTTTCGCTCCTTTTTTGCCTCACACTAAGTCAAAGGTTTTTGTGAATGGTACAATATGGACTGTTTTACAACAGTCAAATGTTCTATGAAACAAAACAAGCATTTGATGTAGTATTTATTTAGAAGCTCAGATTAAAATGTGTAGTTCCTGAAGGGGTTGTATCCATGTACAGAAAATGTAAGGAAATTATTTCCAGGTTAAATGATTAATGGGGATTTCTTGAAGATAACAAATATTTTAGTTTTATTTAGTTTCAGCATTCATATCCTATCTTACTGCTCAAAACCTTCAAGTTAATTTTATAATAACATTTTTAAAATGACAAAACAGAATTCCTTTAGTTTGAGAGCCTGTAAAGCATGGAAATAGCCAAAAATAACAATGTACAATGGCTCTAGAAATCATGGCTTCAGTTTAGGTATGTACCAGGCTACTGTAGCTTATTCCAATTGGTAGAATTTCTCTTATTCAACAAGCTCTGGATTACACATTTGTGACTTCACATGGTATGTGAAGCCAGCTTGTATTCAGATTAATAAGTAGAGCCCAAACTAGGGATAATTTTTTAATACTATGAGAATCCTATATAAGATCAAAGAGTTTAACTTTTTTCTTTTTCCTTTTTTTGTGTGTCTTCAGGTCAATGTTGATTCCTGGTGACTACTTGCAGTTTTCTTGGCAAGGTTTTTTTAGAAGTGGTTTGCCATTGCCTCCTTCACAGGAGACGGGGGGGGGGGGGGGAGAGAGGGAGAGAATCTGGCTCCGTGCCCAAAGCAGAACTAGAACTTATAGTCTCTCAGTTTTTAGCCAGATGTCTTAACCACTATCCCAAGCTGGCTCTCAAAGTTTAACTAGGTTGTGGCTTACACTACAACTGTTCCAAATTCTTTTTTTTTATTTTATATTTCTCAGTGATCTAAACATGAACAACATCAGTGAATTGCTGCCTGGAGATTTCCATCACTTACATTTTCTGGAAGAACTGTAAGTATAATTAAACATATATTGCCTTGACATCTTTTAAAAGGTTCTCTAAATAATACCCAAAACTGAACAAGTTATATTTGAATGTGAGACAGAAAAATCTCGAGACCACTCATACTGTTCACAGCAGTAAAAAAAAAAACACACACACACACACATACATAATAACAACTCAGTAAATTATTGCATTATTATTTAGGTGGTAAAAACCTTCCTGACACTCAGTACTTGTTTCTGTAGCAAATGTTATGCCGCTCATATAATCTCATCTTGAAGCTACTTCATGGTTTCTTTAAAGTTTCCCTCCCTTTTTTTTTTTTTTTAACTTATCTGCATAAGGGTAGAACTTTTCCACATATTTACAGCAGGGACATCCAACCTTGACAGTTTTAAGATTTGTGGACTCCAACTCCCAGAATTCCCCAGCCATCTTGCGAATATTGTGTGTACATTCTGATTGCCATATCTCATATATGATCTTGCAAAACAGGGACAATGCAAATATAAAACAAAACAAAAAACATGATATTGACTTTTATTTAGACAATGTGAACATGGAGTAATATATAATTTGAATTTGTGAAAAACCATTAAATGCAGTTTGCTCTTTGGCTAAAGCAGGCATTGTAATTCATAAATCATAGGTTATAAGCCATGAAAATGACAGAAATATTAATTCTAGTTTTACAGAAATACATGTAGATGTAATTTCTTGTCACTTATCAAGAGTTTCAAAATGTCATTATTTGTAGCAAAACTGACAATTGATTTTGTTAAAAGGCAGTGTTTGAAATTAAGGACCTTAATCATAGCATTAATTTGTTGTGGTAAATTCAGGCAGATCATCACAACATTGTTTATTAAATAACAAAGCACCATTTGAACCATTTCTAACTCTTTCAAAAGAATGAAAAGAAGTTATGATGAGACTGATCTTGAGTTGATTCGTCTAACTGGTCACAATATTTAGTTAATCACTGGTTAAACACATGCATTAAAAACTGGCATGTTTAATGATAATTCATAATGGATTCACTATTAATTCCTATTTAGGGTAAATAGAAATTTCAGTATATGCAGTTATGAAAATGAACATCTGCAATCTTGTCCTAGCAATATGTTGAGATCCCTGATCATTAGGTCTTCCAGAACGTGCAAAATCTAAGACTACCATCAGATGGTAGCAAAGAAATACTTACAACCCTAATTCTTTGTTGCCATCTAGTGTATGGTAAGTCTGATCTTCAGCTATAAGAGTTGTCTTAGAGTAAGACAAGAGAAGATAGTGTACACAGTAAAAATTGCTTTTCTAATCTATAAATCAGGATACTGAAGAAAGCTACTATTTATAGCTTGTAGTGAAAATGCATAAATTACTTGAATGATTATGTACTGAGGATAGAATAACCTCCTCAGTCTAAAAGGCGCAAGTAAATAAAGACTGTACCAGCAGGTATGACTTAAAACAGTACTTTCAGTGCCAGGAGCTTGCACAGGATTACTGCAAGCAGATGTGCAAGTTGTATAGTACACAAATGCATCTTGACATGGAGTGGCACCAAGTGATGGGAATAGTGGTGGCCCAATGTGGCACTGCAGGGTGCCAGTTTGGAGGAAGAAACCAATCCAGTTACTATTCTAATGTTGTTTGGACTCACACTTAACTATTAATCGATAAAGTTCTTTGGTTTTGACTTACAGTGATGTGCAAAGCTATCCATTATGATTTGTCATTATGGCCAATTCAACAAATGATGGTTAATATTATGGATATTCTTCACCATCCAGCTGGCTGTAATTGAAGAATTAAGAGTTTCTTCTTAATATTTTCATGTGGAAAACCCATATTGTGTCCATTGTTCTTAGGAGGTTTTGTGATGCTGTATGTCACAGATACTTTACACAGATTCTTTAGAAAGCTGATCATAGAAAAGGTGGCATAATATCCAGGGCATGCCTATTTGTGACTAAGCCTCACTGAGGTCAATGGGACTTCAGGCTAATGAGGCAAACACATAAAGAAAAGTGGAGACCCTGAAAGCTGATAGTAGTCCTGAACTGTAAAAGTCCATTTGTTTCTTATATCAAAAGAAATATAATTTTATCCAGTATGATTCCCCATCTAATTAGAAACATCAGCCCAAAGGAAGTTTGTTAGAATATTGTAAGTAGCAAAGAGACTTAAGAATTAGACAGATGAAGATTTTGCTGATTGACAAGAAGGACTGGAAATGCAACAGGGGTGTCAGCAGGAGCAAAGAATACTGCTGTGCCAAAATATACAAGGCTAAACAGTCAGTGATTCATGATAGGGAACGGAAACTAGTGTTGACAGCTTCATTGGCATATCTGCTCCATTTTGTTGGCTTGTGTTTCAGGCATATACATAAAGCACACATCTCAAGCTAACTGGAGTTCTGGGAGTTGAAGTCCACACATCTTAAAGTTAGCTAAGTTGCTAAGATTGGGAATTACCGTGCTAGAGACTAAAAGAGCAACAACCATTCTTTGTATAATTCATTATATATGAAATTATTCCCTCATGATTCAAATGGTGTTCTCTTCCTGTTAAAGGAGACCTCCTTGAAAACTGAACTTCCCTGTTTTCTCTTTATGTATATAATATACATTTAAATATCATTTCCTGGGGTGTTTCTGCTTATAGTTACTTTTGTAAATAAGAAGCATTTTTGTGAAAAATTGTCCATCTTGTTTTCTAACATCATCATCATCATCATCATCATCATCAACAACAACAACAACAACAACAACAACAACAACAACAACAACAACAATAATAATAATAATAATAATAATAATAATAATAATAATAATAATAATAATAATAATAATAATATAGTTGGAAGGGACCTTGTAGGTCTTCTAGTCCAGGAAACCCTATACCATTTCAGACAAATGGCTGTCCAGTCTCTTCTTAAAAACTTCCAGTTTGGGAGCATTTATAACTTCTGGAGGCAGGTTGTTCCACTGATTAAATGTTCTAACTGTCAGGAAATTTCTTAGTTCTAGGTTGCTTCTCTCTTTGATTAATTTCCATCTATTGCTACTTGTCCTGCCTTCAGGTGCTTTGGAGAATAGCTTGACTCCTGAGATATCTTCATATATATAGGCAAGCATATGCTTATGTGCTGCTACGAATGCTATTTACAGGTGTCACATTCCATTTCCTAATTGGTAATTTCCTTTATAAAATAGCAAATTTTCCATTCTTCCAATATCTATACCAGACAATGATAGAATTTCCTGCACTGCTACCCGGCTTCCCATCAGGCATAGGGTGAGGGTTTCAAATATTTCTTCTCAGCTATTATTCTAGTTCTTCCCCATAGGAGTGCTCACTGAATTGTTTAAAATGTAGAATTTCTACCATTGTATCCATGTGTTGTATCCACACAGCTCATTTTTTTCAATGCCTGTTGAAGAAGTTAAATGTAAAGTACCTCTTATTCCTAAAACTTAAATTCATTGTAACCAATTTTTAAAAATCTCTCATCCATTAAACTTATTTGTCCACTGAATCAAATTGGTAAAACAGATACAACATTATCATTAAAAAAATCTAATCCCCAATTTTGGGAAGAAGGGGCACACATATATGTATGTACAAGAATAAATACAAATATAGGTAAATCACAAAAATGAAGTGCAATAAGCACCAATTTGGACACAGCTTCTGTGTTTCCAATTTTTTTTTATCAGAACATTGACTCTTTCAGGATAGAGAAATTAAATAAAATGCAGCAATTTTAATGAGTTGCCCTCTTAAAAATTCACCATATTTTAATTGATAATGTTCTACAAAAGTTCATGGGTTATAGTCTGCTTTTTTGTTTTAAAAAGAAAATCTTATGCTCAACACTATTATAGACACAATTTCTCTAAACTCTAGAGAAGAATAGAAATCTATATAACAAATAGGATTTATATTTTTGTATGCAGGAATAGGGTGACCAGGGTAACACATTTGTAATTGTCTTTGGGGGAATCCAGAAAGTGTGTAAATATAAATGAATGCAAGAGACTCACTTGACTCACTTGACCCAAAAAATCATTTCTAAGGGACATCTTAAAAGTGATCAACCTTGCCCTAATGTTGGTCCTAAACATTGAGTCTAAAGATGGATGATTTCCTTAATAAACCATCTAAAAGAATATCTTGTCTGCAAATATGAAAATAAGAGGAGGATTGGTATGAATAAAACTTTTAGCTATATAAATGTAATTAATATTGCAAAAATTATAACTGACAAAGATTATTTCAAATACTGATGGGAAATCAAATCTTAATAAGACCACGAAAAACAGGATATTGATTTATGAATTGATATTATTGATTTATAAATTGATATTATTATTATTTGTATGACATTAGTTAAAATATGAAGATGCTTATGTCTAACTTTGTATACATCAACAGTTCCAAAAACTGTAACTGTGTAATGAGGGGGAAATGGAAAAAATATGGGGAAGAAAGGAGGATCAGGGGAAAAATACTGGATTGTGTAGTACTGAACAGATTTATATTGAAGAAGTTAATGTTAAATATCTGAACCCAGACATGTTGTTTACTAAGCACTAAAGATTGTAATTCTTAAAAATCAATAAAACATTTTTAAAAGAATATCTTGTCTGTAGTTTTGAAAACAAAATGGTTTGTGACAATGAAACTTTTCCAAAACTTAAGAATATTATCATAGAGATTCGCCATTTGTTGCAATAAGATCTGAACTATAAATTCAAAAGTATTCTCTCACTTGTATGAGGAAGGAAGGAAGGAAGGAAGGAAGGAAGGAAGGAAGGAAGGAAGGAAGGAAGGAAGGAAGGAAGGAAGGAAGGAAGGAAGGAAGGAAAGCAGCTTTTATTATACAGAAAATCCTTCCTTCTATAATGACCTCTGGTTCCCCTCGTAATGACTCTATCTTGCTGAAAAGTATAGGAAGGCATTTCACTCCAAGCTATCATTATATTGCCTAACAAAAGACACTGTTAAACATTCGGCTGTATTATCTTGACCTTGTTTGTTCTGTTTATTACAGGCGCCTATCTGGAAACCAACTCTCTAAAATTCCAGAAGGAGCATTTTCTGGCCTCTACAATTTAAAAATTTTGTAAGTCACAATTTCTTCTTTCTAACTGTTGCTGCTTTACTGATCTTTAGACTTTTATTTGGACTTCTAGTTTTACTTCCCAAAAGCTTCATGTTATTGTACTTTCTCTAACTATATATTGAGAAATTCAGGCATTTTAACACGATCATGTTACTTGTTAAATATTCTTGCTATGCGGAGCAGGGTTTGAACTTTTATCAAACTGTTTCAGGTGCTGGTCATGGGAGAATCTCATGTGAACAAGATGTTCAGAACTTATAAGTGTGCCTCTCTCTGCATAAAAGTTCTTAAACAGACCTGGAACTGTATGATTTTCACTATGACAAGCTTCATCATCTGCCTGCACTTACAACAATGTATTTCAAGTTGATTTTCTTTGACTTGATGAGTTATGTTATGTGGAGAGCAAATAGTTGCCAGTAGGTCCTTAGGATTTATTTTACTCCAGAATCAGCACTAGCTTATAATTACATTGCTGCCACTCTCTCATTGTCTCATTTAACCCCTTCCCTGGTACTGGGAATACTGGGATTGAGGCTTAAGTAGCCATTGGCATCTCCTTATTGGAACTGGGGGCCTTTTTCCTCTGATTACTTTTAGACTCTTTTGTAAACCAATCTATTATCAAACAGTAAGATAGACGGCTGTTTTTCTTCATGGTAGTGCCCCAACAGTCTGGTTCTAGTGAATGATTGATGCTCTCAGTGGTTCAAGTTCTATTTTCCCAAAGATATTTTTTTACAAGCTCCTCTTCTGCAATAAACATTTTAGTTCACGGGCATGTTTGGAACCCAACCACAATGCAAAATCACCGTAGCTGACAATGTTTACATGAAACGTGCAGGTATCAACCTGCTCCTCGGATTAGAGAGTGCAGGGCTGTTCACGAGGCCTTCTAAAAATCCTACTCTAAATCCCTGGGTTTAGAGATGAGTTGCTTCTTTATCCATAGCCTGCATTAGGCACCGAATCAAAGAAACCAAGAAAACCACAGAAAACCCACCCTGTCTCAACAAGGGCAACACTACACTCGGGAAAGTTGCTTTTCATCAGCGTACATTGGAGCAATTCCCATTGAAATGGTTAAACGTGTTAGTCTCTCTGAAACTAAGACAGTCTTAGCAGTTTTAGCAGTAGCAAAGCTGCCCATGGGCTTTAAAAAATATATATATTGTGTGATTATCCTGAGGCTGAAAGTGTATTAGTCAGGGAGCACTGGCAGTTTGAGACAAATGGCAATGCTTGCCTGAACATCCTGGAGTGCATGGAAAACAGTCTTGTGATGGAATCATAAATAACCTTCATCCTTCCTTGACAGCAGACAAATTGGGCACCATTTTAACAAAAGGATTATCATTTTAGCTTTTATTTTAAATTGAGGGACTTACTATCTGAAGAAATAAGAGCAAAAATATCTTCAGGTGGCCCTCATACTAAGATTAGGGTAGGTTAATACCTTATCTCAGACCAATTGTGCTTCATCTTGCTTTAATCTTCTATTAATCTATGTGGCTGATCAGAAGGAATGTTTCCCAAAATGACTGTTAAAGGGTCTACTAGGTCTCCACGTATGAGAATGAGCTTTGCACAACAGCCACCACCCAAGATCTACACAACATGAAGACCTTTTCCACTACTGCAGCTGCCTTATTTATTTATTTATTTATTTATTTATTTATTTATTTATTTATTTATTTATTTATTTATTTATTTATTTATTTATACTTTTACACTGCCCAATAATATAAGTTCTTCTTGGTGTACACTCATACTAAACAAGTAGAATTACATCAAAATAAAAACACCCCACTCTAAAAAGAATATCAAACAAGTACAAAGATAAGCACAAAGGACCAGACAAAATGTTGAGGACAACAATTGTAATGACAATAGATAAAGCATACATTATATTCAGATTAAAATTGTTTAACCTTTTTATTTTTCTTACTTTTATGATTATATTTGAAATTACTCAGCCCAAAGTCTCCTACATAAACCACCTCAAAATAAAACACTGAACGCTAAAAAAAAAAAAAAAAAGCCTATGTCCCACATTAGGTTAGCCATTTTGCTTTTATCTATTTTGATTGCATTTCTTGTATTTTTGTTGTTCTCAGATTTTGGATTTTATTATGTGTTTTATTCCATTCTATGAAATCAACCTGAAAATATTTAATTATTTATTTATTTAATTATTTATTTATTTAATTATTTATTTATTTGATAAAATTGTATAAACTGTATAAAACCTAATAATATAGCAGGGGGTTGGACTAGATGACCTCCAAGATCCCTTCCAGCTTTACTATTATTATTATTATTATTATTATTATTATTATTATTATTATTATTATTATTATTATTAATACAATATTATTAAAAAATCAACCTAGTTAAAATGATGGGGATGGAGGGAGTATGATGAGAAGGGGAGGAGGTGATACTTATTGTTAATCTATCAAGCATCCCCAATGTGGAGCCCCAGTTAACTGTATAACGGAAATTAAGGAGGGTTGAAAACGACTTCACTGCGGGGGGGGGGGGGAAGAGGGGAATAAGATGTTCCAAAAGGCAGGTGCAACTTAAGACAAGGCTCTTCTTCTGGACCCCACCGGTTACTAAATGAATTAAATCTATAGTAAATAATTAAGCTATGTTTTAAAACAATACATGCCCAATGAAAGTTAGTCCTTAACAGGATTTCTTCCACTTTTTAAAAAAATGAACCTTTGCTGTTTGCCATGGTAGGAATCTTGGAACATTTTTTTCTACTTGAAGCATAAAATGAAAACAGTAATAAAAAATGATGCCGTGTTCTAGAAGACTGGGACATGTTTCTGCAATGAAATGGAAACTGAGAAATTAGTGCCCCCTTTGAACAAGCTGCCTGAAGCAAAGTTCTTATATATTGCTTCATAGTGAGACTGGCCTTGTTGAAGGCGTATGTTATGCTTGCAGCCATGCGTGTTAATTTAGTGTCTCTGATTCCTGCTATGAATCTGGTGAGAGGCTTTCCTGTAATGCCCCACTGGTGCTCTGTGAGTCAGTTTGTTACCAGGCAAGTGGGTGTTGTACAATTCCTAGATTGTACAACATTTCTCAGTTTCTACAAGGACCCATGCACCCATCTACTCTCAATTCATTCTTTCCTGGAGTGACACAATAGCAACTGGAGGAGGCTGTAGGGCACAGAGGCAAAGCTCTCAGGGGACTTGGTTGGGATGAGGCTTGGAAAAATACCCACCAATTAAAACTTTTTTTGGAAAACTTTTGCTTTCAGGCAAGGAATGCAGATTAAGCACCCAGTTCCAGCATGCCATAAGTCCGAGAGAATTTTTTTTATAGGATTGTCCTGAGTTTTGGTGTCCTACTCTCACCTGCCACGCCAGTCATC